TGTAGACCATGGCTACTACTTCATTCGAATATCACACGGGATGTGTTTTCGTGAAATATCTTCATTTTCCTTATTTGTCATTTTTTGTGCTGGGCAGCACTCTCTGGACGGAAAAAAGTTCGAAACAAAGGATCAGGTCAGAAAGGCGCTCGACGACTTCTTCAAGTCCCAGCCCCGTCGTTCTGGAAGGATGGAATCGACAAGCTGCCTGAGCGCTGGCGTCGAGTAGTGGATGGTGATGGTGCATACCTCTAATCTTCAGGCTGGTTCGCTATTGAGATATTTACAAAAAAGTCGGGGTTAAAAACATATGCATCAACCTTATACTAACTTTTCCCAGTTCTCAAAAAACAAAACGTATGACAGTCGGGAGCTCTATCTCTCTTGGTCAATTTTTCCAACTTCAGTAGATTGAAACGAAATAGAAACTCCAGTGAACCGATCGCCCAGCCCTGCTCCACCAATGTTGTCACCCCTCGATTGCTTCTATAACTTGAAAATGAGAACCTTCTAGAGGCACTCTTTACACGACCTAGTGAAAAGTTCGTAGGTAGCGTGGTTGAGAAACAGAATTGAATGTGCTGAGCGACTCGCTCATAAGGAAAAAAAAGCAAACCATCAATGTTGATATCGGGAGAGAGGCCAGAGAAAACAGCGAGAGAGCATGCAAACGAAGGAGAGCGTAAGTAAGACATCTATCAACTTGGGCGGAGTCACTTGAGCAACCTTGCGCCTTATCGCCGCTACCTTACCACTTTCTGACGTAAAACTTATACAGGGTTGTTCGCTGCAGCTCACGCTACCTGTCCAGACGAAGAGTTTAGCTAATTATAAGTGATTGTGGGTTCTGCCTTGGAGCCATTTTTGGTCCATTCGCTCGAAACGTCGGACAACAATAAACGGCTCCATCAGAACAAATGTTATAAGGCATAGACACTCATAATTATCCTAGGCCGCGGAGCGCTCTGAATTGGACTCTAGGTAGACAGCCATTGATGTGAGCCTTGTAGACTCGTCAAATGTTTTGCAGTATGGCCAGCCAGTAACTGCCTCCATTCTCTCTGCTCATCTGTCCTTTACAATGAAGTTCACCTTTCCCACCATTATTTCCGAAGGTCAAAACACATACCATTCATCAGATTCATCCTGCCGTTAATGTCGGTTCCAAGTCCTGTGTCGACCAGGATATTCCTACCGCCATCTTGAATCAAAGTTATCGTCGCTACGAAATTATATCTGCCGTCGTTTGTTTGATTCGCTGAGCCCTGAACCAAAAATGAGGTCATTTTTCTGGGTTTCAGAGTATCTTCTATTGATATATTATCTATCAATATATTACAAGATGACGAGAGAACTCTTTTCAGAACAAAATCAAATCGCTTAAAACACTTAAAGTCACACCTCAACTGAGAGGCTGCAACTATAGAATTTTCGCTTCGCTGACAAAACTGTTCCCGGGGCATCGGCTGCAAGCGAGCAGAACAAAGTTAGCTGGTTTCTACGTCGCTTTCGTAAATGTATCTGGAGAGAGCAATGTCACAAAAAAGGAAACGGTGCCGCAAATAATTTACGCCGGGATTAATGCATAA